CACATCCCATCGGTGACTCAGGGAGACTCTCCGTCTGCTAACAGTCATGAATTTATTCTCTGAACCAGCTACCAGAAGTGACATGGTTTATGTTAGTGTTATATATGCAACAAGAATCTTAAAATAAAGCCTGCGGGGACATAATTTCTTTTTTGCTTCCAAAAATCTCTATACTACAGCATCTCTACGGGAAAAAAAAAAAAAAAAAACTCACTATTTTGATGAAACTAGGATTTCACATTTTGATCAAAGCATTTCATTCAACACAATTTTTTATGCAGAAAGGCTTTTTAAATCAAAAGCCAAATGTATTTTTAGCTTATGCTCAAGCATTTAAAAATGGAACTGGTATCATATTAATAGAATATTATCATGCCAGGTTCATGTCATTAGATAATCAGTTACTGGTTCACGTGGTTGATACTCAGCGACAGTACCTGAAAACTACATAGCCCCAGTTACTCAGGCATCTTCTCCAGGTTACACTGTTCTTTATCAACACATTAAATTCCCTGTTTCATATACGAATTATCTTTATGGTGGTTTGAAATTAACACACAGAAGAGGCAACGGGGGGGGGGGAAAGGGAAAACACTACAGAGAAAGATACAAGTCCTTGCCTCCCCTCTTCTCCTCTCCAGCAGCCTCACTGCTGGAACTCAGAAGATTGCTGCCACCTGCAAATTGGAGGTACTGCATGCTGCTGGAGAGGTGTGCTTGGAGCTGAAAAATTTAGAGTAGACAAAAAGGGGCCATAAAACACACAAATGTAAATTAATAATCAAATGTACACACACAACAAGTAGACAGATGGTAAGCAATTTTCCCCAGTGTATTTATACTTGTTCTTCTAGTGCATGTATTTGGGTCATTTGCTAGATTAAATCTCATGTGGCAGACCCAACAGAAGTACTGTCGAATGTGTACGGGCTCAGCCTATTTTTAAATGACACAAGACTGACACTACAGGGCGAAGGTATTTATCAGGATTTCTTCAAGGCAGTTTACAATATTGCCCTGCGACTTTGAAACAAGGCTGTTGGATGTTTTCTGCCATCAGCCAGGCTGCTCTATTCAGGCCTGCTAGATAAAATGCAGCACAAACTAGAGGAAGTTAGTGCTACCAAATCTCACAGAAGAGTCCTACCCGGAGACAGACAAATCTGAGCATATTTTCCAGAACACCAATTTTGTCAACATGCCACAGAGGAAATACGTCACTCAAGGTTAAAGATTTCTACTAAAAGTCTCCTTAAAACATGCCTTTCTCCTGACATTTGGGAGAAGAAAGGAACACCTCAATGGATGAGTTGCTTTCAACATGTTCGCTGTAGCAACGCATGACCTCAGATACGCAGAGCACTAAATCTTCCACACCCCAGCTATAAACTGACAGTGACCTGTCTCATTTAGCACAGGTCCCATTAAGGATTACAACTTCAATGCAAGGCACCCACAGGTCAGATTGCCTACTCCTGGGGGAGGGGGGCTGGGGCTTAAACAGCAGGGAAAAATTATGCAGATTTGTAAGCTAATTGCAGCCATGGGTTTTCCTCCTGTAATACTGGTAGATACTACCATGAAACACAAACTGCATGTGCAGAGATTAGCCCCCCCTTAATCTGGCAAGAAGATGGATTTAACACAGTGCAACAAGCAAGATCTTCGGTACATCCACAGGAATGGAAATTTCATTTCTCCCTACCCCCTTGTTATCAGTTCCAAGATGATTTTGCTCAGGAATAAACAAACTTTTGTTAACAAGTAATGCGAGCTCACTGTGTCATTAGACCAACACCTAAATATTTCCCTCCCTTCCCCCTTCCTGCATTCATCTCTTCTTCTGGGTTACTGCAAGCCACATCCAGCTTCAAATAAAACAAATAAACAAAAAGAGGGAAATAAAGTGTATTTATTTGTTCCTAGATGAACAAGGAGGTTTTGAGTAGGGAAGGAGAATTTCTCTCTAATAATCTACACATGTAACTACACGGCTGTCCGAGAATTACAGTAGCAGGGAAGAGGGTAGCAAAAGCTTGTGTCTTTTACATCTACAGAATAAAAAAAAAAATAAAAAAAATAAAAAAAAAAAAGGCACTGCCGCTTCTTTACACTGGCTCTTGGGTTTAGAGGCTGTCACTTTCATTCAAAGTAATCAATAAGTCAATTGGTCAAAAAGATCACGTGTTTGCACTGATTATGTGTGTACCACATATCTGCCTAGCCTGAAAGAATCAAGAAGTTAGGCAGACTAACGATGAAAAGTAAGAATGTATACATTTGCTTACTCAACTTGCCCAGGCTTTAAATTCATTCAATTTCAGTTTAATTGGGTGAAGGGTGGGAAATAAAATATTGAACCCTTTGATATAGAGTCATAAATCCCAGACTACAAGCAAGTTTGTTATATCACTGTCCATGCAGTCTTTGGTTTGGTGCCATGCTGCTGCTAAAATATTAAGTTTTACCATTGGGAAATTGATTTTGCTATAAGAAGTTTTTACGATGCCACTTAATCTTACCCAACCCACATAAAAAAAAAAAATACAGAAAGCAATTACAGACACCCTTTATATAGTAAGCTTGATCACTATATTAAAAAAAGAACAGTCTGATGTAATTTCAATATAATGGCAAAGGAAGCAGAAAAAGCTATGGCAATATGCTGCCCTCCTGAAACAAAACATTGCAGGTTCCCAGCTTAAATGCACAATCTTGATTCACTTAAAGTTAGTAGCATGATCCATCTCCCACATGGAGAGATGTGTCCTGCAGCTCCAGCATCGACCTCCTTTTCTAGTGTTACATTTCAAGCCAGCTCCTGCAGGGCAGTGAGATTCTGTGATTGCAGTTAAAAGAATACTTTGGGTCTGAGAGCGTGCCTCTTTGAATAGATAACCCTTTCTAGCTCAACAATTACTAGCATGCAACAGCTATTTCTGCCTTGACCCTTCCAGTGCTGCAGTTGAAAAACATCCTAATTAGATGACCCTGCATACAGAAATGCTATTAACTGGCTTTCAGAACACTCCAGTGAATGCCTAAACCTTAGCTACAATGGTGAGAAGTACTTTATTTAGTTCAGAGGTAAACACATAAACGAAGCAGTATTTTAGAACACCTTTTAAATAGTCTGGGATTAGTACTGGCAAAGACAGCGTGTGATTATCTTTTCCACTCTTTCTGAGATGACACTCAAATATCACTATTTTCTAACTGCATTAAAGCACACTCAGGCAAGATCAAGAGTAACCTCGACCTCCACATCAATAACACCAGGTAGTATTTCAAATTGCTTTCTATGCCTAGCCAATTTGAACTGGCCTGCAGGACAGGCTTATAAGCATGTCCTTAAACAACCCAGTTTTGCCTAAATATTGCAACATATGCTACTTGGAGTTATGTAAATATTCCACAACTCCTGCAGTTCTTAACTATAACAAACGTGTTTAAAATAGTGTCAGTGTGTCAAAATATTCACTACTTTCTATTGATCCAACTTTGCATTTCAGAGTAACAGCAGATTTTTTTCCTTTACTGTTTGTGAGTGACATTAAAACAGGTTTAAGAAAAATCATTGGAGATAATTGGAAGTCTCACATAAACCTAAAAACACTTAATTGCTTCCCAAGGCTTCGAGTGCATGTAAATGACCTGACGGACTGAAGCCTGAATCACATTCCGCAACCGCGACACTGTTCCCAGCCAGACCTGGACCAGAACTTGGCATTTACTTCCAGTACAATAGGCTTAATGGTAGCAACCCTTGAAAATGGGGGGAGGGGAAGGGAGGGGGGGGCGGTGTTATATTCTGGAAGAGTTGACAGATCCTTAGACACGGCAGGTGCACCGTAATACAGCGCAAGGAAGGAAAATTCCAAGTTTAGTAGCTAATTGACTCCAGGACAGGCAGGTTTTTTCCCCCAAGGCAAATGCCTAATCTGACCCTTTCACCTCCCATCAGCGCGGCTGGAAGTTCTGCTCCTCCAGCAACGTTTTTTCTCTGCCCAGGCGCATCCCTCATCCCACCTCACCGTGTTTCCTAGCGTTCCTCCTCTCCCACAGACCCCTCCACGGTGCTAACCCTGCCTGGCAGCTGCTCGGGGAGCGAGCTGGGACCGCGAACCCGAGCCGAAAAGCAGGGACCCACCACTCACACCCACCCCGTCCTCTCCCCCCTCTCCGCCCACGCGGCGGGATGGCCGGTCGCTGCCACCCAGGAGCATCCGAGCAGCATTGTCTCGGCCCCGGGAGCAGCGCCGCGGCCCACGGGCAGCTGCCCACCCGCGCCTGGGGGGAGCCGGTCGCTCGCCACGGAGCGGAGAGGCTGATGAAAAGCTGTCAAAGTCAATCCGTGCTCACTTTTTGGATGGTTTAATTCCAACGGAGCATGAAACACCCCAGGACGGTTAATAAGTTTAGCCAGGCGTGCCGTTCTCCCTAATACATTTTAATTATGCATCGCTTTTAACTGTGATCACATTAAGTCACCGGAAAAGGCACAAATTGGAATTTCCCCCTCCCATCCCGACTGCTAACCGCGCCTTTCGGCAGCTTCTGAAGGCAGGTACGGGAGAGGAGCGGGTAGGGAGCCCAGCCCAGCCCGGCGGCGGCTGCCTCCCTCCTCGGCGGCGGGGCTCCGGTCCCCGCGGCCGCCCGGAGGAGCCCGGCAGCCCACGGCAACTTCCCGCGCGGGGCTCGGTCCCGGCGGAGCGGGGGGGGGGGGGGTGGGGGTGGGATCCGGGAGGCGGCCGGGCACCCCGGGTGGCACCGCGCCTGCGGGATCAGCCGAGGACACGCGAAGTTCAAGCGGCGGGTCCCGGCCCACCGGGAGCTGTCAGAGCCCCGGGAGCGGCGGGCGCCGCCGCGGCCACCCGGAGCCCGAGGAGCCGCCGGTACCCTCCGACGCCGCCCCGGGCACCCCGAGGGGGGCGGCCACCGCCCCGCTCCCGGCAGGTGGGCAGCCCCCGCCCGCCCGGCCCCGCCGCTCCCCGCCTTACCTGTCATCGTAGCAGAAGTCGGCGCCCAGGGTGTTGAGGTACAGGGCGAGCCCCAGGGCGCTGGTCAACAACTCCGCGATCATCTCTCCGCCTGCCGCCGCCGCCGCCGCCGCCGCGCTCGCACCGGGGCAGCCCCCCCTGCCCGGCCTCCCGCGCCAGCCCCGCCGCGGCTGCCCCTCACGTCCCCCGGCACCGCGGGGCGCCGCTCCGCGCTCCGCCGGCGGCCGCAGCCTGACGGCGCGTCCCCCGCTCCTTCCCCGCGCCTCCGCCGCCCCCCCCCTACCCCATGGCAGCAGAGCGAGCGGCGGAGAGAGAGCGGAACGGAGCGGGGCGCGGCGGCGGCTTGCCGCCCTCCTGCCTCGGCGCTGCTGCCCTGCCGCCGGCGGCTGCGGCTCCGGTTCCCGCCCGGCCCCGGCCCGCGCCCCGCTCGCTGCCGAGCCGGGCGCCGCCGCCGAGGCTCTGGGAGCGCCCGCGTGGGGCGCCCCGGGGCTCCCACCGCGCCTGCGTGCGGGCCCGCCCCGCGCCCGCCCCGCCCCTCCCTCCGCGCCCGCCCCGCCCCGCCCCGGCCCCGCCGCGCGCCGGGCAGCGCTCGCGCCGCCGCTGCCGCCCGCCCGGCGCACCCCGCTTGTCCCACCCACCTGCCTCCCCCTTCGCCGTTCCCTTCTGCCTCTCCGCCTTCCTTCCGTCTTTTTGACTTCTTTTCAGTTTTTCTTTCCCGTTTTTTTTTATTTCTTTTCACTTTATTTCTCTTTCCCTCCCTCTTCCCCCTTCCCCTTCTCTCTTCTTCCCTTTCCTACCTCTCTTTCCCTTTCTTTTTTCCTCTTCCCGTTTTCCCCCCTTTTCTTCTTTTTACCCCACCATAGCTCAGATCAAAACTCATCAGTAGGAGAGAGTGGGCCCGCACCGTGGGAGATGGGGTGCCAGAGCCGGGAGCTCCACGCTCACACTTGTCACTGCGGACATCCGTGGGGAGCTCCTTAGCTCGGCTCCGAGCTGAGCGAAACAAAAGCAAAACCACCGAAATTTGGCAGAGAGGGGGCTGGAAACAAATCACACCCCAAGGCAAGGACCGCGGCAAACCCGCGGGGCAGCCCCGCGAAGGGGTGCTGCCTGCAAGGGGGGGTGGGGTGAGGGTAGCCCGGGCCACGCCCGGTGGGTGGGCGTGGGCAGGAAACCCCGCCGTGGGAAATAACGCACTGAAACCGTCTTCAGTAATTCATAGGATACAGAGGCATGGAGAGTTATGGAAAGGGTTTGGGTCCGTCAGGCTGATTGTTACCTTTTTTTAAGAGAGTTTTTAAAATGTTGCCTCCCGTTTCTGCTAGCCAGCCCTTTTATGTAACTGTTTCCTCATGATTTCCATCAAGTGGCACATCATGCTGTCCCAGAAGAATGGGAGTCTGTACATCAAGCGGTGCCTAATAAATTGGGGAGCTTTTAACAAGTTTTCTTTCTCCCCTATGTGATTATTTAATGTTGTTCTTTGCAACCTCGAAATATATTAAATGCATTAAGACCTCTTTCAAGCAATGCTTAAAGTGCTCCTGTGAAGTCTGCCCCAAGTGCCACAAATGTCTCAGCTGCTTTTACTTAGATTCGGGGGGTGTGTTATCACCATCAGTGGCAGTAATTGCAGACATGGGGGGAGGGTGCATTTTGTTCAGAACATTAAAGCTTTGAGGGGCCTTACTGAAGCCATTAGCAGATCATATTGATCTGGCATTAACCTTTTCAGCCTGAAGCACAGAACGTAGTATCCTAGATTTTAAAGAGTTGGTACGCTTTGTCAGAAGAACAGTGATGCTTACTTTACAACACCGATTCTCAATGTGTTTCTGGACCTACTGCCAAGATCCCAATCATGGTGACTTAGTCCTTGCTGAAGCAGGGTTGCTGAGCTTACACACCAGGTTTGCACAGCTTCTTCTCTGGAAGAGCCTAATAAACTCTGCAAAAAAAAGTGGTATAATTGCTGCTGAGTCACAGTGGCAGAAGTCTCTTGCTCTCCATCAAAAGTATATGGATCTTTTCTTCAGAGAGGCAAGACTGCTGGCTGAGGTCGATGGGGGCTGGCAGAAAAGCTTTAAAAACAAAACAAATTCTCCAGGGAAAAAGTTTAACAAAGCTGGACACTGGCTAATATAACCGAATGTCAAGAAAGGGTGAGATGAAATTTGTAGACTGTGCAGAGAGCGCCTGCTGTGCTGGAGGTAGCATTAGGGCTCCACCAGTCTGTCCAAGTGGATTTAGCTACTACACTCACAAGAGTCTCCAAAGTCTGCACCTTGCAAAAACATTTCTCCATATAAACAAAGGTCCTCTCAATGGCAAGAGCTTTCTCTGATGGAGAAAACCTGCTTTATAGAAAGAGATAGATGGCAACGTGTGCAGGTATCACCCCCCCTGTAAGCTCTGCAACCCTGCACGCCAGCTTAAGCTGGGGGCAGCAGGTGGAAAGAGCCAGTGCAGAAAGCTGGAGACAAGTTCAACATAAAACTTATCGGCCTTGCTGAGAAAACACCACCACAGAAGAAAGCAAGAGGGTAGAAATCAAAGCATGCCAGAGGAATTCCCTCTGTTCCTCAGTCAGTTCAAAGTAATAAATGCACTGGAGTTGTGAACAACATATTTTGCTATATCATCGGGAGATGTCAGATAACATTCTGACTCATAGAAGATTTACAGTGTGATGTACAGTAATCATGAGGTATCAAAAGAGGTAACTCAGAAGTTCAGATGTGTTACTGAGAAGACATTTCCAAAATAACCTTTACTTCCAGAAAGTCATTGTCACAGACTCTGGTATCAGGGAAAAGGGAAGAGGTGGGTAGTTGTAACAACACGTAATAATACAGTAATTGTAAAGATAACTAGCATTATGCAGTCTCACAGCTGATCTATTGTGTATAGCTTAGTAGAAAAATTCATATGTTTTATTGCAATTATCTGATCTGTTTTAATACCAGTCTGGAAATTTCTTCATTAAAGACATTATAGCCTCTGAGTCACTGTGCTACAATATACTTCACCTAAACTGTGCCTGAAAGATTAAGTTGTGGCACAGCATGTAGAATACATGTCTGTCACAGTGACAGATTTGGTTAACCAGTAACTGACTATGAGACCTTCAATGTCAGGGTGATGCATGTGGTGCAGATCCCTCAACAGATTAGATTAGACACTTCAGATTCTGTACACTGGGTTCATTTTCTGGAGCTTGTAGAAAATATTTGTGCCAACTTCCTCAAAGCATCTGGGCTCTGAAAGGCTAACCCCCTGAAAGCTGCTGGGATTTTTTTTTTATTAAAATAAGGTAACTAGATATTAAATGTTACTATAGGAATAATCAAGTGGGATTTTTTTTTTTTTGCCAGTTCTTACACTCAGATACAGTCAAAGAGATGTCATAACATATTGTGCACAATTTTGAGCAACCTAAATTGCATCCAAAGATGTGACCAAATCAGCCTCAGAAATGTAAACTTTGGTCCATTTCAAAACACCCACACAGTTGCTGTTGTTAGCAGCCAAGGATAAACTGGTCTTATCTAAAAAAGGAAATCAAGTTAGTTGAAGATATACATGAACAAGTGACCTTACTTTATCAAAAGTGGAGAAAGTGGGGTAGAGAAGAATGCTTTAGCCAAGTGGCTCTTTTAGAATTACTCACTGATTCATAAAGTTGTTTGATTTTGTGGACTAGGATTTAAGATGTTCTTTTTCTGTTATGATGACAAGGTCATATTAATTCTCAAAGAGACCAGTATTTCTGCTTTCTCTAAAAAACTCTTTTGTTTGTTTTTTCCCTTTTGCTAGTGCTATGATAATAACAACATCACCAGTGACAACCAAAGTAAAAATAATTTGCATGAAATAGGACAGTAAAAACTAAACACAGGCAGAAAAACAAAGGACATGTAGGACTTGCATTAGTACTTGGAAGAGATTTTAACTGAACACATTTCCTAAGAAAGTACAATTCCAGGAGGCACCAGTTCCTACTTTAGATCAGTCAGTGGAGCTAGAGTATTGCTGCAGAGCTGGAGAGAGAGAGTGAAAGAGAGAGAGAGAGAGATTGAGAACTAATGCATTTTTTAGCTTGACCTAATCTAATTATACAGACTCTCTCAAGGAAGAAAAAAGATAGTTATAGGGAAGTTTGTTGTATGCACAAAACATGCAAGAGTATTTGTGTAGCTCACAGGTGAGCATATCTTAAGGAAGATGATTACTCTAAATGGCTCTGATTACAAACGATAACACACTTTGTGGAAAACTTAAAGACTAAAACCTAAGTCTGTGAAGGGACTTAGGTATCTCATTCTTCAGAAAATTCTTCTATGCCTTATATGTAGATGCCAGTGTGTTTTTTGTGTTAAGCTGACATCAGACACCCTAAAGTTTCAAAGTACCTAATTCTACACAGTTAAATTCCCTATGCATCTAGATTGTTACTTGATGCTTTCAGAACCACCCCAAAAAAGACACTGTTGTGTCACTTAAAGCTTTAGCATCTCCTGAAGCTGTATCATAGTTACCAAAACAAGCCTTTCCTTGCCTTGCAATATCTGTGACACCTGAGACAGGAGTGTGCAAAACAACACACAGATGATTCTCTTTCAGCTGGAGCCTGAACCAAGGACACAGGAGACACAAGGTATCTTTGCCTAATCTGGAGAATGGATCTGAGCTGTAATGTCATAACTCTGAAGTTACTGTGCCAACATCGGGCAGTCTATGACAGGACATTTCCCATCCAAACTATTCCGTTTCAATACAATATTCATTTATTCATTGTCTGCAAGAATAATTGCCTCTACACTGGCAATTAGGACATTCATGTAGCATTTGTGCAATCTGGAATCAGATGACTACTCTGAATCAGGAAGAAAAGGGCAGATTCTAAACATTGACAGCTTTTGTAAAGATCATTTGTAATGAGGGTTAAGGGAGCTCCCTCCTAGCTGATTATTTTTATGAAAACCAATTTATATAGTCACATGCCACCAAAATGTGTTTACTGATAAAAATTGTAAGGAAAGGGGGTTAGTTCCTTGCAGCTAAATGCTTGAATAAGAGCTAACATATATTTTCACTATTTTTGCAATGTTTTTGGTTTAATGTCCTGCTACGGTCAAGAAAGAAATGGTCAGATTAGGTTCTGCCCTCCTGTGACTAAAAAACTCCAGACATTTAATGGAAAATTTGGGGGTTCCTTCCTACCCAGTACTCTAGATACCTCCGTACTAGACTTGCTGTCCTCTGCCCATTCCATCTTTAGATGCCTGAGACTTCTCATTTAGGAGTATCTACTAAAGCGACTATTTCTGTTTTCACTCATGTGCAGCAGGAAACAATGATGCAACTCACATCTCAGAAGGATGCTCCAGTTCTCCGTAATATACCAATTGTCAGTTAAATTGCTGCAGGGTATTGTTGACTCATTTAGTGATTTCTGGTAGTATGCTCATTACTG